CCCCCCCCCCCCCCGGAGTGAATTTTGGTTTGTTAAAGTTGTCCTTTTTAAAAAGAAGCTAAATTAGACCATTTAAGTGAAGTCCCCACAAGCCTTTGTATATGCAAAATACAGAGGTGACTTTTAACTCAGAAGCACTTTCCTCTGCCTTCAGTGTTCACCAGCTTGCATTTTAATTTTAGAGCGTTGATGAACTGATCGAGAAGACCATCCCTGCCAGCATCCGCCTGAAAAGACCCTTGAAAATGGATGACCCTGTCTGTAAGTAACCGGGAGACTCCTTTGCTCTGGCCTGTTTGTCTTCTGTGGTCTCTGAAAGTCCATCTGTGGGTCAGGATTGCTCAGGAGGGAGAATGTTTATTAAGATAAAACAGCACTGGGTACCGCACCGGGCGGGAGAGGGTGCAATATATTCGGCTCCCTGGAATAGTTCTCTGTCTCAGCGCCCCACAAGGAGCCAGCAAACTTCCTGGGGAGGGGGGTGGGGGGAGGCAGTGCGCAAGCAAGTGCGGAGGATTCCCAACTTGCCAGGCACCTGTCCAGGTATGATTGTCCCATCCTTTGGCTTGGGAGATGTCCTCACTTCTCTGCAGATCGGCATACTCAGAAGGGAAAAAAGAACTGCCTACAGTCTTGCAAATAGGGGATTGACAAAAATGGGAGACCCAGACATCTGGCCTCCTACCCCGAGGTTATTTATATCACAGTAGTTTCCAATTGTTCCATCTCAGATCCAAATTTTATTATTTATACCCACTGAACGGCACCAGTACTTTTAAAGTCTGAATGATTTTTAAGAAATCTTAATTTACCCGTAGACTCTGAGAATTTTAATTTATATTTTAAAATATTTTAATGGTCTCAGAATTATTTGACATCCACGACTGAGGAAGAATTTACACAACAAATGCAAAATTCAAGTGGAGAGGCAGAGCTGAATTTTTTTTTTAATAAACAGGAAAGTATTCTCCTGGTTTTGAATCATAAAAATGCTATGTCTTCTGAGGTCAAGGGAAGAGAAGATAATTGATTTGCTTTAGGTCTGAGAACAGAAAAGTTATGTGGAAGGTAGGCTTTATTTTGTTTTCAAGTATACAACTTGAGGTATGAAGCACGTCCAGCCCCCAGCTGACTGATGCTATAATTCACGCTGTGCTGAGGGCTGCTTCCTTTATTGGTTTCAAATCTGAACCATTTCCCTTGATGGAAGGAACCTTGTTCATAGAAGAAAATATGAACTTTTTGTCTGCTTGAACTGATTGAGACCTGGGGATGGTTAGAAGCCTTATCTATTTCAATTTTAGGAAATCAGAATCCTGATTCATTGGATGTTTAGCATAGTTATATGTTTTTGAAGCAAGTCATCAGTGAATATTTGAACAAGTAAATTTCTTCCTGAGTCTTTCAAAATCATAAAATGTTTAGGTCAGCCCTTTTACTATATACTCTAAAATGTTTTTTTAAGAGCATCAAAGTCTAGGAACCATGTCCAAGTTACCTAGCCTCATGGAGTGTCACTGCTTGTTTCCAGCTGAATAATTTGAACCTTGGGAGATTCCATTTCTCCCCCTTCCTTTGGAAGCAGACTTCTGATATGTAATATATAATTTATGTGTAAACTTTAAACCCAGCTCTATGAAGTTTGGGGCTGCTTCCATCTGGTTAGACTGAGGTGACTCAGAAAATATTGCACTGGCAGGAGTCTCCCTTGCCCTGAAGTGGATCGGCTCTCCAACAAAGCTTGCTTCTTGGAAGTGAGCTGGGAGTGGGGATAGGGAGGATGGGGTGCAGAATGCATCAAAAAGGTAGCAGTGTTTTACTTTGCAATGGTTATTGAATGTGTTCCACATGGGGACAGCAAATTGGTACAGGTAACCACTAGTAGAAGCGTTTTCATTTACTAGTGGAGCTGCATGATCCAAACTTGGTTTCACACGAAAGCTGAGTGCCCGTGTTCTACCATAATCAAAGGAATTCTAGACCAAACATTTGTTCACTGAGTAGAGAGAAAACTAAGAGCTAGTACATGTCTTAAATCCCTCATTGCTGAGTAACAGAAGATTGTGAGAGCTGTAAGCAGTATGGAGATACTTGGGTTCTTATTCATAACTTTATGATCTCAAACCAATATATAGTACTTAGCATGTCCTGGGCTCTTTTTAAAATGTTTTTCATATATTAATTTAATCCTTATTACAACCCTTTGAGGTAACTATCATTATCAACTTTGACTTAAAATGGACAAACCAGTCCTTCCCCAGTGGTCCAATGGTTAAGACTCTGCGCTTCCAACGCAGGGATCCCTGGTCAGGGAACTAGGATCCCATGTGTGTGTGGCGTGGCCCAAAATAAATACAAAAAGCATGGCATACAGAGGGTAAAAATCATGCCCAAGGTCACCACTGGTAAGCAGTGGAGGCAGAATTCAACCCATACAGTGCAGGCCCTGTTCACACTCCAGTCCTCTTCATTGTCCCCTAAAGTAGAAAATCCTTGTCCTGACGCTTCCTCAGTATCCAGTTTACAGGTGTGCACAAGCCCAACACACTGGAATCACTCCATCAGCTGCCCTAGTGGAAATGCTGCAGTGGGCTGAGAGCCCAGGTCTGAGAACACTCAGGCCCACCGCTGGGGCGAGGGAAGGGGTGACAGAGGTGCAGGGTCAGAGCTGGGTGTTGAAGGATGAGTAGTAATGCTCTGTTGGATGACACCAGGGGAGACTGCTGTAGCCAGAGGGAATAGATTGTACAGGACAGAGTGGGCTGACAGAGTCAGGGAAGCATGGATTGTTAAGCTGTCACGCAGGAGGCTCCCTGTCCCGTTGGACAGGTAAGGAAGTGCCTTGAAAGAATGCCTTGATCTCAGTCGGCTTCACAGTAAGCCATACTTTAGAGAAACAAACAAAGCTACTTGTTCATCCCATTCAAGTGAACCCCTACCCTCCACTGGCATACACAAAGGAAAAAAACTAGGATTTATGTCAATGGAAACATTCATTTCTCTGGATGGTGCCATTATGAATGATTTTAGATTTCTTTTTATTCCTCTGCTTTTTTCTAGATTTTCTACAGTAACTATGTATTTATTTTGTAATTAATATAAAGCTTAAATACTTTATGAATCACACCACTCACTTTCAGCTATGATATGTTTCTCTGTGTAGTATTTTCAGTGAAGTCATCTCCAGTGAACCAGACTGAAGTAGCCCATAACTTCACAGAAGCAGCCAGGCTTCAAGTTTACAGAAAATTGCACATGGTTTATTTTGAGCATGCTTATTAAGAAGAGAGAGGAGACACTAAACCCTTAAATGTTCAAGTTGTTCGACCTGAACTGGGCAGCTGAGCTGTCAGAATGAGACTTTTGATGGACTTGTGACAACCTAATTCTCCAAGCAATATTGTTTAGAGTGATTTTAACAAATGGTTAATGGAGGGCAGTGAGTGAAGGGTGCAGGGTTGTGCAATGCAGCTGCAGGTGGCAACTCTGTCACCCAGGTGACCCACTCCTCTGAACTGACCCCGAGGACGCCGACAGGGCATCTGTTCTCCTGGCTGTGGACATCAGTTGTCTTTCAGCTGGGTTAAGTCTGTTGTCAGGTGCAGCCTGCAGTCTGTGACAAATCCCTCCTTTGGCCATTTCTGGCTTCTTGAGATCCCAGCATATATGAATTATTATTTCATCTTTAGGATAATTCCAATGGATTCTTCTTATACAACTGTGGAAATAAACAAAGACCAGCCAAATGAGAAAAGCAAAGGCTGTTTATTCCGAACTTGCTATAGGAGTCAGCCTTTTGTTGTACAGGGGAGTAGGACAGCCTTCAGGGACACCCTGTTAGCCTAAGCAAGATGTAGGTAGGCCAACAACAGCAAGTCTTCCAACTAAAGCAGGGTTTTCCTTGTGATTGCTTAAGGCTGTTTGTTCAGGTTTGTCTGGTTGGTTCTAGATTGGAAGCAGGGCCCAAGATTAGTGAAGTTGTCAGTTATTAATCAAGTCCTGGCTCTTTTAGGCCAATTGCTATAGAAGTTATTGTTTATTTTCTGCCATTGTCACTGGAGATAGCAAAAGACAGCTTTCTGCAAGTCTAGTCTGTAGCAAGCTGGCTCAGGGGTGGTTTATTGTGGATTAGGGGGTTGGTTTCCTGAGCAGGTTGCTGCAAATGGTAGGTGAAAATTTTGTAGTTATATATGGTCTGGCCAATGTCTATTTGTATGTTTAGACTCTCATAGTAGTCTGTTGTCCTTATATTTTTGTCATTAATTCTTATGGGGCAGACCCCTGCTGACCTGACTGAAAGCTTGTGCAGTCAACCTATTGTCTAAATTGTAGTGTTTATGACTATTTACTACTGGTAAGGCATTGCAAGGATAAATGTATGAATAAACATAATCACTATCCTCAGTGGGCTTACATCTTAATGTGACTTGAGTTCAAAAGTTAAAATGTCCAATGTGTCATAAAACTATGAATAAAATACTGTAAATGTACAGAAATGATGTGAAATTGAATAGAAAAACTGGGATTTCTGAAACCACTATAAAAAGTTGAAATATATCTTCTATAGATATCTCCTGTATCTATAGAAACAAAGACAATATCTTTACATTGACTATGTATTTTTTTTTGTGTGTGTATGTAAATATATTATTATAAGAAGGAGAAAACTCAAAAAGGCAGCACCTTCAGTGAGAAAAATAAGATGGCAAAATTCAATGTGCTAGGCATGCCATCTTTGATGGCATCTTAACAGAATAATTACACTGATGATTTGGGGGATTCTTGGATGTTTTTCAGGACCACGAAGCAGTATTTCAATTCTTGGGACATCCTACAATTTAAATAACTTCTGACACTATCTACCTGCATATAGCATCAGACTTCACATATTAACCCTCCAAGACTGCCCCCACTTGAGATGTCAGTCACAAGTCAGGATTGTCACCTGTGCTCCGACCTGTTGTGCTCAGTCACTCAGTTATGTCCACCTCTTTGCAACCCCATCAACTGTAGCTCACCAGGCTCCTCTGTTCATAGAATTTTCCAGGCAAGAATATTGGAGCAGGTTGCCATTTCCTCCTCCAGGGGATCTTCCTGACCCAGGGACCGAATGAGTCTCTTGCGTCTCCTGCATTGACAGGCAGATTCTTTACCGCTGCAGCACTGACTAATGAGCTATAAGTTGGATCCCTTCCTGTGGTTCGATTAATTTGCTAGAGTGGCTCATGAAATACACAGAAATGTTTCCTTATGTTTACCAG